AAAAAAAAAAAAGTAAATGAAAACTCATTAATAATAAATACTTGCTTCTCTTCTTTCTCTCTTTTTATATGTATCTAAGGCTACTTAACATGAAATCTCACTTATTAACAAATTTTTAAAGTGCACAACACAGTATTATTAAGTATAGGCACAAAGTTGTAGAGCAGATCTCTAGAAACTTTCATCTTATATAACTGAAACTTTATAGAAAAAATGGTTAGGCAGAACAGTATAGTAAATTCAGAACATGGGTTGTGGTAGTAGACTGCCTGTGTTTGTTTGAACTTTTGTGCTGATGCCAGCTGTCTAACATTGGGTAAGCCACTAAACCACTTTGTGCTTCAGTTTTTAATTCACTAAAATAGATATAATAATGGTACATGATTTGCAGGACAGTTGTAAGCATTGAATGCATTGGTACAGGTAAAGCATTTAAAACACAGTATAGAATATAATTAGAACTCATTAAATGTCATTTAAAGATATAATTTCCAGTGACGAGTAATTGATAACCCACAAAGATCACTTTACTTTGGGAGAAAGTACTAACATATATGGAAAAATGTGGAAAATAATTATTAAGCGGTATATTATACAGTATAAATGCATAAGGCATGAAAGAAGAAAAAATTCATGGTAGATTCGCAGGTGAAGATTTTAAGGTATATTTCTGTATGGGTTAAGTGCGACTATGAGTGCAAATGAAAACAGGTGAAAAAAAAACTGGAAGTAAGAGTAATTAAACTAAAAGGCTCTTATGTGTAACAGAATTCAACTATGGCCATATTTTAATGGTTTCAAAATTAAAATATATGTAATAATGATGAATCTAGATTTTTAAGTAATAATGCCATTTGTAAATACTTTAAAATGACATCTCATTATATACCTTTAATGTAATACTTTAAAATACATGTTCTCAATTTTGTTGCAAAATGCCTTATAAAAGCAGGACAAGTATCATTATTTCCATTTTACCAATGAGAAAGGTGAAGATCAGAGTTTGTGTCACTTGCTTAATGTTTTACATTTAGTAGATATTAGAAACCTGGTGAGTATCCAGGTCTTCTGACTTACAATGTAGTGCACTTCTATAATACTATGCTGCTTGCTGAAAGGTAGAAAGCTTGGTAAATAAGTGAGCAATAAAGACTTAAGTTTTATGAAAAATGTGATTGCAATCTTTGTCTCAAGTAAGGGAAAAACAGTGTAGAGTAAAAGCATAGCTAATGCCAAATCTTAGCTATATTAAACAAAAAATCAGTGGGTACCAGTTATTACCATGCCTTGGAATCCTTTTATGTTTTGTGATTTTTTTTTTAGGATCTGCAATATTAGAAATGAAATGGAAATAATATATATGAAGCAGATTCATATAGAACTTCTTTGGAGTTGTCCTTTTTTTCTTTATTATTATTGCTTATGTCTTCTGAGGTATTATGCTTTTTTAAACACAAAGTTAAGGAAAACACTGCACTTTAGCAAAAGCTTGCCCAGGAATATAATATTTTAGCCATAACCAAGGTGTCACCATTTTTAAAACAAAGCTTCTATTCTAAGATAAAAATATTGTAAAATATCTTTGATATTCCTGTCAACATGCCAATAAAAGCATGTAACAATAATAAAGCCTATAACTTTCACTCACAAATTCATATGAAAGAACACAATCTCTTACATATAGTTATACACATGCGCATAAATGTATGCACTTGAAATAATTTGTAACATGGACATTCAAAATTTTCTTCAGAGAGCCTTTGTAGTTAATTTTGATTCTAGCAATAGACATGTAGAAAAGTATACCACTTTTGTTTTTCTTCAGATACATTTTTGATTACTTCTGTTCATATATGGGAGTACCAGTTGTCTGACTTCTTGAGGATTATATGTCATGTAAGGAGAGAGTTCCTTATAGAAATCTCACTAAGAACCTCAAAGATGCCACTATTCTCTTCAGCCAACCTGAGGCAGGGGCCAAAGAAAATTGGAGACAAGCTGACCTTTTTTCAGTTTTATCTTCCTCAGTTTCCAGAATATACATTATATGAAATCTTTAGGGCCATTTGTTTGAATACTAGTCCAGTTTAGCTTTTGTACATTCTTTTCTGGAAGAAACAGCACTACTTTTCCCAGCTGGTTAGTAGTATAAAGCACAATAATGCAGTAAATTTTATGTAGCTCCTGGGTTAGCTCCAGATCTCATCTGATAGCTTGCATGCAAAAGAACATGTTAGGATGATTGAGAATTACTTGCTAGTTGTATGTCTTAAAAGTCTAGCTGTTATCTTTGTAAAATCTATTGAGGAAGAAAATCTTGATCTTAGATCCAAGTTTCACACTTCAAAAACAAATATTCTTCACCTTCTGGTGAATGGTCAAACAATTGTTTATAATGTAGCCCATAGTTGTGGATCAAATTTTTAACACTTAGGGAGCTGGGGATTTAGCTCAGTGGTTCCGCTGCCTCTGCCTCGCAAGCTCAGGGAACCGAGTTCTTCCCCAGTACCATTAAAAAAATCATTCACTTTCCTACAAACACCCCAATTTTGAGCTGGGCATGGTGGTGCATGCCCGTAATCCCAGCACTTGGGAGGCTGAGGCAGGAGGATTGCTGTGAGTTTGAGACCAGCCTGGGCTACATGGTGAGTTCCAGGTCAGTCTCAACTACATAGACAGACCCTGTCTCAAAAAAACAAAAACAAAAACAACCCTCCAAAAAAAACACTTAGTATATCTAATAAGTGCATAAATAAAATAGATTCATAGGCACACATAGTCAACTAAGTATTTGTAAAATGTTAGTAGAAAATTTCATTTTATTACAAATGAGAAAATACTTGGGGAACTATTTGCATTGTTTTGCACTGGAGGTGGGTTTAAACTATTCTTTATATGATTCCTTTCCTTTTTCTGGTAAGGAAGCATTTTTCTTAGGTACGTAAGTCATGCTGGACAAAGAATGCTTTCTAAATGTAGACAGCCTTCTTCTAAAGTTCCCCCCTGAAAAGAAATAGAGGAGAGGGTCAAAGCAACAATTTGATGCAGCCAGAGACAAGGTTATGACCACTGACTTCTGCATTCTCAAGACGGAATCACAGGGTTTAGTTTCATTGTGTAAAAAATGAAGGTGGATAGTGCGTTGAATATGATATGGCATGAAGCAGATTAAAAATGCAGCTGTCACCACTATGATCATGCCTATAGCCCTTTTACGACTTGACAGATTTTTTTTCATTGAACTTTTTAGTAAAGTAAAAATGATCATTGTGTAACAAACAACTATAATGATGAAAGGGATGATGAAGCCAATGAACAATGACACATAATGCAAGATCAAAACATGTTTTTTAGCTTGATTGTTTTGTGGAGGCTCAAAGCACTTGGTATTGTTTTTCTCATCTTGGTAAGTTTTGGCCATTAAAAACGGAGAACTGGTCAAAATCACAAACATCCAAATGCCAACACATACAAACCTGGCTTTTTTCTGTGTAACCAAATTAATGTTTTGAACTGGGAAAACAATAGCAACACACCGGAAAAAGCTCATTGCTGTCATGAAGAAGATGCTACAATAGAGATTGACATACAAGGCATAGGAGCTAAGACGGCACAGGAAGTCACCGAAGAGCCAACTGCCTTTGTGAACATAATAGACCACACGGAGGGGCAGTGTGCACACACACAACAGATCAGCTATAGCTAAATTAATCATATATACTTGGAAGGCTGATTTTTCATGATATGTTTTTACAAGAACATAGAGCACAAAGCCATTGCCAAAGAAACCCACAACAGAGATCATAGAATACCAGGTAGAATACACTTGATTGCGGAAGTCATCAATACTGTCATGGCACGTGTTATTACTGGCAGAAGATATTGTCAGATTTCCAACTTCATCCATGTTTCTCTAGGAATGTCTGTTTGGTGCCTATAATATATAAGAAAATTGTAAATATTTAGTACATCTTAAATTATGAAGTATTATGTTTATTTATTGAAGTTTTCAAAATATAATAATTACATTTGTATTGGGGAATTGGTACATACACGTAATATGTTTTGATAATTTTTTTTATTTCTTTACTCCTACTCCCGATATTCCCCTCCCATCTCATTCCCTCCTCATCTGTAAAAAGTCTGCTATTTTATTTTCTACCATCTCTAATTTATTTTACTCTATTATTTGTTTATATTTTAGATTTTTCCATGTAAGAGAAACTATATGACAACTACCTTTCTGTGTCTGACTTAATTCACTTAACATTATGGTCTCCAGTTCCATCCATTTTCCTACAAATGGTATGATTTCATTCTTCTTTAACCAATTCGGTGTAGATACCACTTTTTCTTTCTTTTTTTTTTTTCTCATTGAGTTTATTGGTACATTTTAGGTATGCAGTACAGTTACATTCATCACTGGGATCCTGTACCTTTACATGGCAGGTCTTGGTTCTCATTTTTTCTCCTTGTCCCTGCCCTCCCTTCACCCCCTCCTCCCCTCGCCATTTACAAACACTTTATTTCCATTTTTTCATTTTCTCATATTTTTTCTTTTCCCTGATTTCCTTTCCCCTACCCTTCCCACTTTACCTACACCTTTAGCCCTTTTCTTCCCATTTCACATTGTCAATTATATCATTAGGATCTTATGTACAGTTATAGTTTTTTAAACCAGAGAAATTATTCAGTATTTACACCTGTGTGATTTATTGATTTCACTTAGGAGTATATCCTCAACATGTATCCATTTTCCTATGAATGAATCTAATTTCTCATTCTTTATGGCTGAGTACTATTCCATTTTATAGATAAACCACATTTTCTTTATCCAGTTTCTAACTGATGGGCAAATGGGCTGTTTCCAAGTTTTAGCTATTACAAACTGTGGCGCTATAAACATAGGTGCACATATATCTCTGTGATTTGATTCTTTTAATTCTTTTGGAAAGATTCCCAGCAGAGGGATGGCTGGGTCAAATGGAACCTAGAAACCTAGTTCTTTGAGATATCTCCATATTGAGATATTCCTTTTTTTCCGTATTTCTTTTTTTTAAGAGTATGAACAATTTATTAAGGGAAAGAAAGTTTCTGTCTAAGAGAGACAGAAGGGGAACCAGAAAGTGGGTTGCCTGCCCACCCCACTTCTCAAAGATATTTTATAGAGCAAAACTATGTGGTGAGGCGGGTACAAAGTGTAACAAAACCATAAGACCCAATGAAAAATTACAAGGTACCACTTTTTCTTTTTGAATTCATCTGCTGATGGGCATCCAGGCTATTTTCAGAGCTTAGCTATAAAGAGGGGTATACATGCATCACTTACTTGTACAGTCTGATGCCTTAATTCTTTTGGGAATACACTCAGGAGAGGTATAGTTGGGTCAAATGGAATTTTTATTTTTAGTTTTTTGAGGACTGTCCACACTGATTTCTATACTAGCTGTAGTAGTTTACATTCTCACCAACAATATAGAAGGGTTCCTTTCTCCCCACACCCTTGCCACCATTTGCTGCTTTTTGTGTTCTTGATAATAGTCATTCTAAGTGGGGTTAGATGGAATATCAGAGTTGTTTTGATTTAAATTTTTCTTTTTTTTTGTACTGGAAATTAAACTCAGAACTCTGTGCATGTGAGGCAGGTGCTGCACCATTGAGCTACATCCCCAGCCTGATTTACGCTTTCCTAATGGCTAAAAACGATGAAAATTATTCAATGCACTTACTTGCCATTTGTATTCTTCTTTTGAGACGTGTCCATTCAGTGCATTGACCCATTTTTGATTGGGCTATTTGTTTGGGGAGAATCAATTTTTGAATTCTTTATATATTCTAGGTATCAGTCCTTTGTCAGAGGACAAGCTGGCAAAATTTTCCCATCCTATAGGTTGTCTCATTTTGTCAATTGTTTCCTTTGTTGTGGAGAAGCTTTTTAATCTGATATCATCCTATTTGTGCATTGGTATTATTTTCTGATCTACTGGAATTCTGCTCAGGAAGTCCTTGCCTTTGCCTATGGCTTTAAGTGTTTCTCTTTTGTCTCCCAGCGGTTTCAAAGTTCTGTTTTTTTATATCTAGGTCTTATGTATACTTTTTGAATAGTAAGCAAGAGTTATAGGGCAATGAGAGATTCAGAAGCATCCTGGCCCCAGAGAAGGGTTTGAGTGCTACAGGCACCCTAAAAACAATGTTTTTCTCCTTTCCCATCCATGTTTACCTGATGGGCTTTCTCTTTTAGGGGGTTTATTGGGAATCAAACTCAGGACCTTGCTCTTGCCAGGCAGGCATGGCACCACTGAGCTGCATCCCCAGCCCCTGATGGGCTTCCTCTTAAACTTTAAGACCTAGGTAAAATATATTTCCATATTTTAAGTCATAATAATTTTGTTGTTCCATATATTTTTCTTTTAAAATAAATTTATGGTTCTTTTCCAAAAGAAACTTTAAGGATAACAGTTTTACATATCTCTATCCATTTTTTGATCTATATATCTCTATTTTAAGGGCTTTGAATTCTGTTAGAGAATAAAATATGAATGAAAATATTTTATTCCTTTGAGAAGAGGGCTTTCTATGTAACATATACTAGGTAAAAATAATCTAATTTATTATTAGTGAAACTCATTCCTGTGGTGCATATTCTTGGTACAATTTATATTATTTCTATTTGGAATCCAGAACACCATAGCTGGAGAAAACTTATAGGCCATTTAGTTATTTTAGGGGTAAAATACATTTTAAAAATCTGTATCTTAATTTAAGGCTCTGTTGAAAGATGTGGTATAACTAGTGAAAATATGCTTGTTGGGTAAGAAAATTTTTGTTGCTGTTCATTTGTATTTTCTTCCTAGATGTATTCTCAAAATCTTATTATTTTTCCATGTACAGTCATTTCCCATTTAGCAAGAAGTCGTTACTTGGTCTACCTAAGTTCATCAAAACAGTTAATAATCTCTGATCAGAGAGACCTAGGGATCAGATCACATATGGTAGATAATATTTGATTGAAGCCTTATTTGTTGTTATTTTACACATTTCTTGTTCCCCGGTAAGAGAGGGTTTGGGATTTGTAAGGTAAGCAGACTGCTTGTGCATGCAAGAACTGCCAGCAATGCATGGGACTTATCTCTTCTCCATACAGAGGTTACAGAAACAACTACAGAAGTGATTGCAGGTGGAAGATAACTTCCCAGGTTTATTACTGCTACCATTTACATTGCCCAAAGTTAACCCAGTCTTTTTTTGCTGATCTTGTTAGGTGTTTTCTTTGAACTGGATAGTACAATGCTGTGGGCCACTAGATGGTGCTGTTGAGGTTTTAAAAATTAATTTCGTTGGTACGATTTAAATATACACAATGATCACATTCATCATCATAGGGTATTTGTACCTGTACATGGTGTATTTTGATTCCTCTTTTTCTCCCAAACCTCTCTCCTCCCTCAACCCTCCCTAATTTACAAAAGCTTTGTTTCCTTTTTTCTTTCTTTTTTCCTTTCCTTTCCTTTCCTTCTTTCCCCCTCCCCCTTCCCAGTTCCCCTTTCCTTTTGAATAATTTCTTCTTATTTCACATTATCTAATATGCATTTTAGTCCTTATTTACCCTTTCAGATTCTCACACCAGAGAGACATGTGATATTTACACATGTGTCTGATTTATTTCACTTATGAATATAGTCTCAAGGTGCATCCATTTAGCTATAAATGTCTCAAGCTTATTCTTCTTTGTGGCTGAGTAGTACTCCATTGAGTATTTAACCTACATCCCTTTTATCCATTCATCAGTTGATGGGCATTTGGGTTGTTTCCAAGATTTAGCTATTACAAACTGTGTCACTATAAATGTGGATGTGCATTTATTGTGGTATGATGGTTTTAATTATTTCAGGAAGATACACAGAAGTGAAATATCTGGGTCACTGCAGAATGGGCAGGGCTGTGCAGCACATTTATGGGCTCTGTTTCAGACACTAATACAGAACTGTGGACACCAGAAGAATTTTAGTATTTTTATTAATTTTCTTTTTCCTTGTTTGCTTGCTTGATCTGTTTTTCTTTTTTCTTTTCTTTTCTTTTTTTGTCTGCTTGGGTTTTTTTAAAGGTTGTTTTTAATTGAAAAGGGACTCTGGTGACATTTAGGAAACAAACTGTTGCAACCACTGAATAGATCTGCAAAGCTTGCCAACTTTGTGCCTATAACAACCTAAGCAAGCCCAAACTGTCTCTGTTATTAGAAACTGTACAGAGGAAAGAAAAATACCCCGGAGAAGACTGGTAATTAGAATTTAACCATATGCCACTATGTAAAAGATTTAAACAGACATTGGTCCCAAATGATACTTTTACAGGCTAGATTGAAGCCTTTCCTATCCATTCAGAAAAGGCTATAGAGCTAGTCAGAGTACTCCTTAAAGAAATCATCCCTAGATTTGGGCTATACCAGTTTGTTCAGAGTGACAGTGGACCTTTTTTGTTTTGTTTTTTCCTCCCACATAACTCAGGGAGGGCAAAGGCTTTAGGAATAAAGTACCACCTTCATTCCACTTGGTGGCCTTAATCTTCTGAAAAGGTAGAAAGAACTACCAAGATTCTCAAGTGAGCTCTGACAAAAGTTTGCCAAAAGACATCCAAGTCCTGGCTTTGATTGCTACTAGTGGCACTCATCAGGATTCATAACATGCCCTAAACTGGGCTAAGTTTGAGCCCATTTGAATTGTTAAACAGAAGGCCATTTCTATCCTCTGATAATGACAGTAGACTCAGAGATTACAAGACTCACAATATCTCATCAATCTGGGGTAAGTATAATAAGCTATCCAAATGTATGGAAAGAGAGTCCTGCCAGCTTCTGGCCCAGTGGGACCACTTTGTCTGCTGTGGAGGCCAAGTGCTTGTAAAAGCTTGGAGAGAGGGGATGCAAACAGACCAGTTCAGTGATTCTTGCAACACCCATTGCAATAAAGGAGGCAGAGATAGATGATTGGATTTATCTTTTAAGTTTAAAGGCAGTGCCACCTGAACTTTCTAAAGAACGAGATCACTCAAAAAGAAAAAGCTACTCCTATGAACCTCTGGAAGATTTGAGATTTTTTAAAAAAAGCAATACTCTGATGTTGCTACAGATAAGACCTTGCTAGGGCCATGGATCTTACACTCTTGATAATTTATCTGACATCTCTCTAACATACATTTTTCTCTACAGGAAGTATGGAAGTCTGATCTGCTCCTCACATCTGGGAAAATAGTGAAGTTTTTTTTTCTCCTATCAAACAGGCAGTTCAAAGGTTACTAACTCCTTTCTCATTATTTTCTGATAAGTTTTTATTCCATTAACTCATCCATGAGCCACACAACACCTCAGGATAGTTGACGAGTACAGAATGCCTAGTAGGTAGGGTCTTCAACACCTTTTGGCTTGAAGAACCTCTAAAAGACAGAAACCTCCACTCTTTCAGCACCCCATAAAGATTTATGGGATTTATGGCTCTCAGGTGGAATTGATACAGGAGATAAAGCATGGTAAAGCTGACTGGGGAAAATGAACGGGACCTGTCAATTACAAGATCCCAAGACACTGCCAGGACTCCATATGTAGAAGTTCTTGTGAGCTCCCATGAGATGTTTCGGTCATAAAAGAAGACCAGATGCCACTGGGACCTATTATTGTGAGTTCCTGTGATAGCCTACACCACATTTCCCAGACACAACATGTATTTTATTTTTGATTTTACCCTTTTTTTCTTTTTCTTTGGCCCAAGTTCACTCTGTAGAACTGGTTTATTTCATACCTATACACTCCTCACTTTTCAAATAAACTTTTGGCACTATTAAGAAAAGGGAGAAGTCCTATAACTTCTCAAGGCCTTAGCCTTATTCCCAGTTCCTGAGGAACCCTTCTTGTCCTTCCTCAAGTTATGCAGTGACAGGCTATAAAAACCAGGGGAAATGGTCACTAGAATTTTCACAGGACTAAGAAGAAAGCTATTCCTGAGAACCTTTGGAAGACCTGAGGCCTCTTCAGAAAGTAAGACTCCAGTATTGCTCCAGGCTCCTCTTCAGGAAGCAAGATTCTAGTACAGTATAGTTCTGGGTGCAGATAAGTAGAGTCACTGATCACCTTAATCCACCACAGCTTAAATGGGCACCTGTATTGAAGCCCATATTTTGGTCTTTTTTTTTTCTTGTACTAGGGCACAAACTCAGCACCTTGCTCTTGCCAGGCAGGCGTGGTGCCACTGAGTCAAATCCCTGGCCCTGACGCTCATGTTTTTAATGAGATCTGTTATGTGGATAATCCTCTCAGGCTCTCGAATTATCTAACCTTCCTCTTTGCCATACTTTGTCCTCCACAAGAAGTATGAAAATTTGATCTGCTCCTCATATTTGGGCTCTACACTCCCAATATAATAGTTCCTTTTTTTCTCCCATTAAACAGACAGCTCAATAGTCACTAATTCTTTTCTCATTGTCTTCTGACAGGTATTTTTTCTTCAACCCCGCCAGTGAGCTACAACACCCCAACTTGGAGATCACATAATCCCCAGTAGGTAAGGTCTATAGCCCCTCCAACCAGAAGAAGCTATAGAAGACAGAGACCTCTACGTGCAGTCCTCCATAAAGAATTATGAGGCTATGTGTCTCTTAGGGGAAAATGAGACAGGAGATTAAGGTGTGGTAAAGATGGCTGGGGAAGCAGGTGTGAACTGTTAATTACAAAATCCCAGGACACATGCACAGAACAGTTCCCAAAGCCCTGCACATGGATTTCTTGTGAGAATTAGAGCAGGTTTTTGATAAGATACCATATATCTGACATCAGCCTGAGGAGTGGATGATATAAAAAAAGACATTCTACATTGATTCTGTGCCACTGTGTTCTCTCTGACATGGTGGCTCACCCTCATGCCCTAGGTTGCACTTCTTTTTCTCTTTTTACTTGACCCAAACTTGTTCTGCAGAGCCTGTTTCTTTTCCTACCTTAATAAAACTACGATATTGTTAGAAAAAGAAAAGAGAAGAAACCAAGTACTTTGAATGGAAACAAGAAGAAAGATGCCCTCAGGACATTTTAGGAATTGGCCAGACCACATCCTTTGCAGAGTGAAGGGTGCAGAAGGGTAATCCTTTCATTTGAGGAGAGTCTGTGGGCCCCCTGATGAAGAAGGGCTCCTAGGGAATTTGTTCCCTTGGATTCATTCCAAAGTGCTCAGCCATCCGGGCACTCACAGGCCATGGCATCTATGGCCTTGGCATTGGCAGCATGACCTTGGCATTGTTCACATGATGCTGGCTGGTCAGGTATGAAGAAGGTAAAAGTTTTGACATTGTGGAGGCTTCCACCCAAATTTTAAAGGAAGGCCTTGGAAGTCAAGCAATGTGTCCTCAGTAGGTGGTTACATGAAGCAGTGGAAATGAAGCTGAAGATGCAGTGGAAATCACAGAAACTTTGAAGGTGGAATGTCTTCTTAGGAAATCTGTAGAATTAAGAGAAGAACCACCCCAAGACAGAGGCCATGTGGGCTGCAAGGACATAGGGTGGTGTTATTCAAGCCACTTTGGAACTCACATTTCACCACTATGTGCCCTGAATGCCAGAAATGGAGCTAGAACGCTTACTGTTTGCCTTGCAGTGTTTTGTCTTGTTTTGTTCCTACTCTTTTCTATGACCCTATTCCTCCCTTTTGGAATGGGAATGTTTTCCCTATGCCACGGTATATTGTGAATATATAATTTGCTTTTTGAATTTTATAGCAATTCAGGGCTAAGAGTGCCCCATGTGTCTCAAGGGAGACTTTGAACTTGGGCTTTTGAGCAATAATGGAATTGTTGAGACTTTGGGGAGGGCATCAGTGAATTTTTGGTTGCACACAGAATAGTTGTACCATGATAGGTAGAAGTATGACCTTGTGCTTATTTGGAGATCAAGTATGACTTGAGGAGATGTGTTGGGGTGTCAAATTGAGAAGGGCTTGAATGTGACATTAAAGCTGGCTAGTCAATTTGATTGGCTTGTGAGACACCTAGGGGGTTATAGGTGTGTCTGGGTAACTAATGGAGGTGTGACTTTGGGTGCTATATCTGGTCCATGGTCTCTTCCTCTCTGGTACCCTTTCCCTGCTCTACTTCCTCTCTGCCATGAACTGAGAAGCTTTGCTCCATCATACATGTCCATCATGTTTCTTCTTGGAGCTGGCTGATTATTGACTGCATCTTCTAAAACTGTGAGCTACATCAAACCTCTTTAAGTTGTGGGTGTCAGGTATTTTGCCACAGCAATGGGGAAAGCTGATTGTTTTTCATCTGTTACATATTAAAATGAATTTGAAGTTCTCAGATATTTGAATGAAAGATATCAAATAAAACTAGTATATATAAGAATAAAAGTATACAAAGAAATAAATGATGTCTAGTTCCTCTAATTAGTTCCCAGCCTTTATTGACCCAAATAAACTTTTCAATTAGTTTCAATATTTAGGTTGAATTATTTAATAAAATAAGTCAAGTCAATGACATATATTAGGCCATAAAAAAGTCTGTAAGACTTTCAACAAAATATTGAATCTTAAAGGTTCAGAGCACATATAGTATCATTTCACAGATGATAGTTTGTTCTCTCTGAAGCAGCATTTAACTTACTTTTATGTAATTTACTGTGACCCTCAATGATATGAACCCCACTAGATGGATACAGAGTTTCTTTGGAAACATAAGATACTAAGAATCCATATCTGTCTTCAAATGGGGGTGAAGAGTAATAACTCAGAAATATGGAGATGTATAGTACAAGAAGAAAAATCTTAGCACAAAACAAATGAGTCATTGTTTAATGAAAGTAAGCAAAAAACATAAACATAATCGATTTTATTTTAGTGTAGATGATGAACGAATCTTTGTTAAGATAAGTGTGAGTTGAAAAAACCAGATTCATTTTGAAAAGGCAGTCATACCTTTTTCTGGCACTATAGTACTCTTCACAAATGGTTCTTATTATGGTTGTCAGTGTTTCTTATGTTGCAACGTCAGGGGATGCCTACACAGAAATTATAAGATTGAAAAGGAGGTTAATGACTTTAGAAGCAGTACAAGAATATCACAAAACTTAGCAGCCCTAAGTACAGATTCAGAGTTTGTGATGTAATAGCAAAGACTTACTGACGGATTTAGGGCTAGTCATTGAATTCTGTGACTCCTTCTTCAGCCTTCATCCATTTTTACATTTAGGGTGTGGGGAGGTTCTTAAACTATAGACCATGATGTCTTACAGATGTTTGCTTTTGTGAGCACACAGTTTCTTTCTTTTTTTTTCCTCACTGAGTTTATTTGTACATTTTAGGTATACAGTACAGTTACATTCGTTATTGGGATCTTGTACCTTTACCTGACAGGTCTTGGTTCTCATTTTTTCTCCTTGTCCCTGCCCTCCTTTTACCCCTCCTCCCTCCCCCTGTACAAACACTTCATTTCCACTTTCTCATATTTTTTTCTTTTTCCTTATTACCTTTGACCCACCCTTCCCACTTTCCCTACACCTTTAGCCCCTTTCTTCCATGGTTTCTATATCTAAAGATAAACACAGTATAAATTATTCCCTTATGAAACCAAGATATTACTCCTATTTTCTATTATAAATATTTCATTATAAAGTTTTAGGAGGAAATAACTTGCAAATTCCTATCCAAAAATCTAATTTGCTAGGAATAGGAGTTAGAACACTAAAATTCAAGTATATCTTTCTGGGATGGCTTAGGGATCATTTCCCTTGAAGATAAAATGGCTTATAGGACCTTGGACTCTTCTCCCTATAAACTCATAATATTATTTATTCTTTTTATCACTAATATGACATATATACATTCTACATTGTTTTATAACCTTGTATAGTTAACTTTTAGTTGATTTATGTCTCTTCAGTTAAATTTTATCTGAGAATCTGACAAAGTATAATGAATCTTCAAGAAATGATCATTAAAGGGTGCTCTTGAAGCAGTAGCAACCTAAATTGTTTTATTCTAAATTTTTGTTGGCTTATGGCAAAACTTTCATTCCTGACTTCAAGGTCCCTAGAGGCTGATCCCTTTTTCCTTATGTGTGGTCTTAGTGTCAACAAAATAAACACCTTCCTCCAGTTTATCCTGAGCAAGAAGAAAGAGGCTGGACCACTACTGAGAAAAAAAGGAAATCAAAAAAGAAAAATAAAGGAAGTGCAAAATATAAAACAGCATAGTTTTAAAAATAGCAAAGCGAACCCACCACTGCAATATTAGAGTTTGAGACAACTTTGTGCTTAGATAATCATTTTGTAAAGCATCATTTTTCTTTCTCTCTTCAAATTGTACCCCCTTCTCCAAAGATAAAGCATTGACATAGGTAACCTACTATAATGTGGGTAGAGTGTGTATTTCAGGTAGAGAATTACTCAGAGTTGGCATTTGCATTTTGTTAATCAGGTGGTAAATTTTACAAAAGTTTGATTAGCTTTTCTGAGGTCTGTATATATCAGTAAACCTACATTGACTGGATGTTGAGTGTATAAAATTCTATGATCATAAAATTATATGATTCTATTCATCTAATCAATCAGTGAAGAAAACTAACTTCAGTTCTGTCATAGCTTTTGTTTATACATAACTTCTCCCTAAAGTTCAATGAAAAAGTTTATAAATTTCTAAGATTAACCTAAGAGAAGTGTAATATCACCAGACTAATGCACTAACTAGTTACACATTTTTATGATGGCAGTACAATTACAATTTAGCTCAACATTTACATGCACAAGTGAATAAATGTGACATTTCTTGGGCAACAGTGTAGTGCTTCATCCAGTTTGGGATGTGAGGGAACCATTTCCTTTAGGAATTCTTAGCCTTTCACACAGCAGGCAGTGAATACTTTTATTCCTTGCTCCTCTTTTCAGTTGCCTTTAGGACTGTTTTTTTCTCACAGGAGATTCTGCCAATATTTGACTCTGCCATTCATACCTGGGTGAATAATTGGGTGAAGATAAAATGAGGAAGTAAATGTATGAATGCGTGTGTACTTTTTTTCCATTAAGTTTATTGGTACATTTTAGGTATACAGTACAGTTACATTCATCATTGGGATCTTGTACCTTTACATGACAGGTCTTGGTTCTCAATTTTTCCCCATACTCTGCCCTCTCTTCACCCTCTCCTCCTTCCCTATTTACAAATACTTTATTTCCATTTTTTCATTTTTTTCTTTTCCCTTATTACATTTCCCCTACCCTTCCCACTTCCCCTACAACTTTAGCCCTTTTCTTCCTATTTCACACTGGGGATCTTGTACCTTTACATGATGTATCTTGCTTCTTATTTTTTCCCATTCACCAGCTCTCCCTTCACCCCTTCCACCCTTCCCTATTTACAAATACTTTGTTTCCATTTTTTCCTTTTCACATATTTTTTCTTTTCCCTTCTTTCCTTTCACCCAGCCCTCCCACTTCCCCTACTCCTTTAGACCAGTTTTCCTATTTCACGTTACCAATTATACATTTTTTCTTTTTTGATACCAGGGATCGAACTCGGGTCCTTGTACTTTGTGAGGCAGGCGGCGGAACCACTGAGCTAAATCCCCAGCCCTACCAATTATACATTTTGATCCTTATTAACACTTTTAGTTTTTCGTACCAGAAAAACTATTCGGTATATACATATGTGTATCCTATTTATTTCACTTAAGATTTTGGCCTCAATGTGCATCCATTTAGCTATAAATGTCTCTAGTTTCTTGTTCTTTATGGCTGAGTAATACTCTGTTTTCTAAAAAACCCCCACATCTTTATCATCTCCAGTTAATGGGCAATTGGGTTGTTTCCAAGTTTTAGCTATTGCAAACTGTGCCTCTATAAACATGGGTGCATATATATCGCTGTGATATGATTCTTTTAATTCTTTCAGAAAGATACCTATCAGAGGTATAGCTGGGTCAAATGGTTTTTAATCCTAGTTTTTTGAGGTTTTTCTATATAGATTTCCGAAGTGGTTGCACCAGTCTACATTCCCACCAACAATGGAGAAGGGTTTCTTTCTCCCCACAACCCTGCCACCCTTTGTTATTGGTTGATTTCTTGATAGCAGCCATTCTTTGTGGGGTGAGGTGGAATCTCAGTGTTGTTTTCATCTGCGTCTCTTGAATGACCAATGATGTTGAACATTTTTTCGTATATTTATTTACTGCTTTTACTTGTGTGTCTGAGAAATGTCTGTTCATTTCAGATGCCCATTTTTGAATTGGGTCGTTATATTTGGGAGGTCTGATTTTTTAAATTAAATTCACTTGCATTTTTTATATACAGTACAGTTACATTCATCATTGGGATCTTGTACCTTTACATGACAGATCTTGGTTCACATTTTTCCCCATACCCATGCCCTCCCTTCACCCCTTCCACAATGCCCTATTTACAAAGACTTTCTATTTTTTCTTTTATCATATTTTTTCTTTTATCTTATTTCCTTCCACTACCCTTCCCACTTCCCCTACACATTTAGTCCTTTTCTTCCTATTTCACATTATCAATTATACAATTTGAATCTTATTTACACTTTTAGTTTTTCACACCAGAGAAGCTATTCAGTATTTACACGTGTGTCCTTTTTATTTCACTTATGAGTATGGCCTCAATATGCATCCATTTTCCTATAAATGACTCTAGTATCTCATTCTTTATGTCTGAGTAGTACTCTATTTTATAGAAAAACCACATCTTCTTTACTCAGTCTCCAATTGTTGAGCAACTGAGCTGTTTCCAAGTTTTAGCTATTACAAACTGGGCCACTATAAATATGGGTGTGCATATATTGTTGTGATATGATTCTTTTAATTCTTTTGAAAAGATACCCAGCAGAGGGATAGCTGGTTCAAATCAAACCTCTGATCCTAGTTGTTTGAGATAAGGGAGGTCTGAGTTTTTAAGTTCTTTATATATTCCTGATAGTAGTCCTTTGTCTGAGGAACAGCTGATAAAATTTTTTTTCCCACACTGTAGGTTGTCTCTTAGCTCTCTTGGTGGTTTCTTTTGCAATGCAGAAGCTTTATAATAAGATGAGATCCAAGTTGTTGATTTTTTTTTTTTTGGTACTGGGGATTGAACTTGGGACCTTGCACTTGTGAAACAGGTGGCAGAAAAGTTGTTGATTTGTTGTGCTAGTTCCCCTGCTACTGAGGTTTTGTTCATAAAGTCTTTTCTTATGCTAATGTATTTGAGAGTTGTACCTAACTTATCTTCCAGCAAGTTAAGTGTTTCTGTTTTTTTTCCATTAAGTTTATTGGTACATTTTAGGTACACAATACAGTTACATTCATCATTATAGTGTTGTACCTTTACATGATATAACTTGGTTCTTATTTTTTTCCCATTCCCCAGTGTTTCTGTTTTAATATTTAGATCTTTAATCCACTTCAGTTTTAGTTTAGTGCATGGTGAAAGATAGCGGTCCAGTTTTAATCTATGAAAAGTTGAAACCCAGTTTTTCAAACACCACTTATTAAAAGGGATATCTTTCCTCCAGTGAGGATGGATGGCTCGTTTTTCAAAGATGAGGTAGCTGAGTATGCCTGGAGTTGTTTTTGTATCCTCTAATCTATTCCAATAATCCTTGGATCTGTTTCTTTGCCAGTACCATGCTGTTTTATTGCAGTGGCTTTGTAGTATAGTTTTCATTTGGGGGTTGTGATACCTCCTGTCATGTCCCTGTTGCCTCGAATTGCTTTTGGTCTTCTAGTTATCTTGTTCTAAGGGAATTTTTGCTTTGTTTCCTTTAGTTCTGTGACATATACTGCTGGGATTTCAATCAGAATTGCATTGAATCTATATAGCAGTTTTGGAAGTATGACCATTTTCACTACATTGGTTCTTCCTACCCAGGAGCAGGGAATGTCTTTCCATTTTCTTATATCCTCTTCAATTTCTTTTTTCAGAGTGCTATAGTTCTCAATGTAGTTCTCTTTTGCTTCCTTCATTAGATTGATTCCTAGACATTTCATTTTTTGGATACCATTGTGAAAAGA